TCAACAGTCACCGTTCACTGCCAGAGCCATCTCAGAGCAGGGCCTATACTTTCAAAAAAGTTAAGAGATCGTAAGTTCATCAGCCAATCATTGACGGCCTTTCACGCAAAATTCACCAATCATAGACAAGAAAATGGAGCGTAAGTACAGGGTCATCAATATTTAGCGTTACAACTTTGAGTGGTTAGAACTATGAAATGAAACACAATTGTGAATGTTTGAAAATGTATTTATGTAGGCAAAAAAACACCAGATCACTAACCTGCACTGGACCAAAAGGCCGCCATGTTCGTCGCCCTGCATACATACCGCCGTCCAAATCAAAACTATCTATTCCGTAAAATTATATTCTCATTGATAAATTTTACTTAAAAGTTTTATTTTATTTGGTGACGAGTGAGTTGAATATACATTACCAATCTCGTTCAAGTGACTTGGTGCATGCATAAATGAGGCGAGCTTCCAACAATATTGTTCATTTTTGTTCATCGTTTCTGAGTCCGAACAACACATACATTAGATATATGGATTTAAATTATCTTTGGGTTGCGTGAGCCAGCAAACACTTTTTCCACTCCTACTCTAATCAATTAAGCGCATGCATTCTATGATGAAAACTTGCTTCTTAGATAATAACACGAAACAAAGGAGATTTTCTTGTCGAACGCGGAGTGTGTTAAATAGACCGATTAAATACCTTAGTTATTTACAAAAGATTCATACGAGGCTTGTACGCTCAAGTAAATTAATAACCAATATTCTCGAATTTTCATTTCCCGTCACTGCATTTATTTTGTTAATTACAGAAAATTTACCTAAGAATACTAACTTGACCGTTGTAGTCATAAAAAACTGTCAACTTTAACTTGCATAGCGATATGAGATTGTTTAAGAAAAGCTAACTGGTTTTGAGGTATATAAATGAAACGTAATAATATGCAGTAATCTTTAAATTTTTCATCAACACAACATTTATCGTCAAACAAATTAAAATTAAAAGCATATGCGAGTAAATTAAGTAAAGAAAATAGAATTTTAGAAATCCCTATCATGTCCGTACATAAAAATGTGGTAATAATTTTTCATAAATGCTGAGCTGAAATGAAATATTTCCAACAATGGCAACACGTCCGTGAACATAAAAGACATTAACCACTCGGGAATTCCCCCTCCTCAGTAATATTGCATTAATCAAAAACTGCGGGCCCCAAGAAGAACATATTGAAAGCCGTCCAGAAATCTCGAGAGTCGCCACCAGGGTTGTTGTTATGGGCCTCTATGAACATTGGTAGGCCTACTAGGAAGGAGTTCTGCCAACCCACTAACAAGATGTTCAGTAACAGGTCTGGAGGTGCGTAGACTCTGAGGCTGTCGTAGTAGTGGCGGGCAGCTTCAATTGCACCATCCAACGAGAATAAATATTTGTACGCTTCTACGTACGAATCCATGTACATCCGGGCTCTCTGTCATGGAGAACAAGTATTTAAAAGCTTGTCTTTTAAAAGTCCAGCGTACATCCGGGCTCTCTGTCATGGAGAACAAATATTGAAAAGCTTGTCATTAAAGCCCAGGCTTGCTGTTGGAAATCGTGCGCGATGAGAATATGGAAAACGGATATAAAAAATGTAGACTCTAGTCTACTGACGGTGACATAAGTTGCTAGGCATGTCGATACGAAGAGCATCAAAGAAATTTAATATGTAAGTAACCCAAAATGTAAATGTATATGAATTAAGAACTGTGGCTTCATCAATAATCTCAATAGTACTTGACGATAAGGATTTTACTTAATGGTCTGATCAAAACTTGGACAATAGAATAAATGAGCCCAGAGGCATGGAGGTGGAATGGAAATCAAAAAATTCAGCAACTCGATAAAAAAAAGCTTTGAAAAGATCAAATTTATTTTTTTAATTAAATTTTTTATCATGTTAGACTGAAAATCTGATTGAGCAAAATATTTATAGATTTTAGAAAAGGGTAATTGTGTGTACCTAATTTCAAAAAGAACAATAGCACTTTAAACTTGCCAAGTAGTTAGATTACAGGACAAGTTTAAAATAAAGAACGTGCTGATGAAAATATTGAATAGTGGATCAATCTTTGCCATTTCCATCCATCATCGCAAGCTAATCAAGCACGAATTTAAGAGCAAAAAATGTGTAGTAAATTACACTTATTTTCATTTAAAACGTTAAATTTGAGCTTAAATTTTTAGATAATTTCTGATTTGGGCGAAAAATCATCGAAATTTTAATTTCGTGATTAAAAATACAACTGCTCCTCATCGCGTAAGAAACGGATTACTTCAGTTTTTGCTTATTTGAGAAAAAAACTTGATTTTGACTTCCTTACCTCCCTGAGATCCATGGTGCACGCCAAAGCAGTTATTTCTCGTATGTCCAAGTCCAGGACTTCTTCGAAGGTTTCAGGGAACTTTCTGTTGCGGTCACAATAAACGGCGTCAATAATCTGCTTGCCAAATTCTTCGGCAAAAGTAGAGAACCAAGTGCCTAAATCGAACCTCGACCACTCATCTCTTAAACGACTCAAAGGGTTGTCGTCCTCTCCATCCTGGGCTGCAGGGTCAGAACCGCAATTGCGAACAAACGTTTGCAGTTGATCCCTCAACATCGAGGCTTGCATTTCGATTTGTGTTGCGTTTGACACATTTGCCCACTGAGGTGCCGGCTGAAATTTAATGAGTTCGGCAGCGTCATGTACATTAACATAAAACGACTCAAAGTCGTATGTGCCGGTGGTACAGTTCTGGCAGAAGTTCAACTTCATCATCGTCAGTTCGCCAGTTTGGTTTAAGTCAACGCCCATAAATGCCGTACATTGAGCGGCACTGCAAATCCTTGCCAATAAAACCATGATGCACTGCAGCCACAGACATAAATGTGCCTGGAACACAGGAACAACTAATAAATTCCACAGTAATGATTGATAACAAATGATATTTAATACACTCGGTTTTTAAATATTTGAACGTGTTTAATCACCCATGTTAAAGTCATGCATAACCGATTGAAGTTTAAATTCTTTAGTTAAGTAAATAGAAGCCCACAATGATAAATATGTATTTGTTATGGCCATTAAGCTTAGTTATTGAAAATTACATTGGAAAATATTACGAGTTAGAAGCACCATCTTGACGTGACGTACCGTTGTTCTCATTTTGGTTGTGGGGGTTGACTCTCCTCCTCGTTTGCGCTCTCGAAGAATCACCAATGCCTAATCACCTGGAATAAAAAAAGTAAATGCAGAAAAAACGGTTAAAAGACTTTCCACCTCATGCCTTGACGGTTGGAGGTCAAGCTAAGATGTGACGTACACGTTTGGAATAAAGTTCACTGCAAAACAGCGATAACTCTGTATAAAAATACATTTTTTTCCCAAGACTAAACAAAGAGGCTCCTAAAAACGGGAGTATAAGCGCGCAAAATGAGGTGCATACACCGGCCACACATTCATATATTTGACTGATAAACTAGCCCTGTTGGCAACGCAACGATCATCCTAAACCTACGCAGCTACACTTCTTCTTTTGTCCACTTTCTGAGGACTTGATTTTTCACCATTCGCCTCACGTCCGGACGGGCGCATCTCCACTTTTCAGAGCCATGAGGTCGCATGCCCAGCTAGATGCACCGCAAGCCACATACACCAGTTCCACAACAGCTCAATTAAAGATTTAGAACACATGTCCGCTGACATTGCTGAAGTTAGTCTTATCTTCATGGTCGAGTAAACCCAGCACAGCCCTACCTCCTAACTTACCACCTTCCTGCAGCCAAGGAGGTTAGGTTAGGTGCCGCTAGGCTGCCAGAGGAAGTGTGGAGAAAATAGTCCTACTGGGTTTACACATCCACAAGGAAGATGGCTACAGTGGTCGCTGCAGTCGTACGGCACCATGAATTCATTCACTTAATTTCATAGGCTACTACGACCCATACTGTGCTCGACCATGGATAGGAAATATGAAATAAAGCGTGAAGATCAGACATACCGGTCGAAAATAGACTAAATATGATTCGTGAGAGACTAGATAGCTCTGCTGAAGCATGAACTTCATGTCTTTGGTGCTGAACAATTAAACAAATATTATTCGAATAAAAATGTGCAAGAAAACCAGCTAACGTTCAAAGTGTAATCAAAACGGGAGCTCGCCAATGATTATTTGCTACGCTTGGAGGAAGTAGGAATTTCAAAAGACAAGCACCGGTAGAGCGATAACCATGTCAATGTTTTCAGAATGTGAGGACAATGTTTTCACGCTAAAATTGATCTTTTTTGGTTACAACCTACCAAAATCTAGATGAATCCCTGTGTTTAAGAATTAGCGACAAGCCAATATGTCCTAATCAAAGTCAACACCGCTATTTTTCACTTATAAATAGGCGACGATTTCGTCGTACGGCCTCTTGGATAGTATGTAAAATCATTAATAAATAAATTTAATTATTCTTAGTCTTTCTGTAAGCACACAACACAGCTCCTCTGCTACAACACTGCATCCATGGTAGTGAAATCAGCACAACTGCAAGGTTTTCACAGTGCATGACAAAGCACCGTAGTCAGTCCATGTACCGACTTGTAGGTTTCAAGTTAGTTTTCTACAATATCTTCATGAACTTTACGGTTGACAAAAAAAATCAAAATAGTTAATTACGTCTATTATGTACAGGAAACAAATCAAGTCGACATCATTAGAGGATCAGCCAATTCAAACTTTAAGGTATGAAATTGTTAAGAATTTATCTAGAGTAACGGAAAGAAATTCCTTTAAACCAAAATTTGACGCTACGTCGATTTTGCCCAAATTACAAACACGTTTCTCCAGGAATGAATCGATGTATCTAGGAAACTGGAAATGGAAATTTAGGAAGCGAAACACCATTTGGGAATCAGTGGGAGCTGAACTTTGCTCATCATTCTGAAATATATTCAGGATAACATTTTACGATTGAATATGAGAAAATGTTTAGAATAGATTTATTTATTGATATATAGAAATCCAACACCTGAAATAAGAGGATTGTGTGAATGGCGAAATGGGAGCTTTCTTGCATAGGAACAACAGGGTTGGACATAATCACCAAATTCTGCCTCTCTGATACAAAATGTGATTTAGAATCTAGCACAATCTCGTATTGTCTGCACGAATAGGTAATGGTAGGAAGATTCGAAACCACATTGACGATTAGAAACTGAATTCCAACACAGTTTGGCGTGCTTTGCACTTCCTGGGGCTTACGGACACAATGATGGTAGAAATCAGTGTTTAAAGTTTCGTTAGGACGCTCTACACTTGGAAATTTGTGACACTGCTCCAGCAACGTCACTATCGTCAACACCCTTAAGTCGCCACAGCCCTCATGTTGCCAGCGTTCAAGATAAACGACCTATTTTATGAACACAGAACCACAACTTCCTAACGAAATCGCAACAGCTTCGTAGTTATTATGAGGCAATCGCATCCCACAAAATTGTAGTTCGGGCCAGTTTTAAACGTTTTTTTCTCTCTAACGATCGGCAAGTTAAGTGCAGTATCTGCTGAGTGGAGAATCACGTGTCATTAATTGACGGTGTTCTGAAAAGATGTATACCTCGGCTGCACAGGATGGCGTAACGGAGGTAAAGAATAACTTTTATGGCTGATTTGCTCGGGCGTAGAAGAGAATTATGCCCCTACAAGCTTGACCACTTCTTGTAGAAGTTCACGTTTCAGCAGGCGCTTTTTCAAGGCGACGATACCTTCAAAAAAATTAATCGAGTTACTTATCACAGACAGTGACAGGCAACTGTTGCACTGACAATGCTCGCAGTTAAGTAAAGTCCCCCTTATCTTCATCATATACCTAGGTTTACAGACCAAAAAATACGTTACGTATGTCACAAAGAAACAATTTACTCGGAATGAAAGTTGCATTTAATTTGAACTTGGCGGCTGAAACAATACAGAGCTTTAGAATCGCAATCTTGCCACTACAGAAAGCCGAAGCTGCACGACAGTTGTCATTAATTGACAAATGCTCTTTAACCTTCCCAGCCAAAATAAATATTCCCAAGTACTTTGCCGCTGGCGAATTTAATAATCAGTGTCTGGTTAAATTACACTGTTGTCCTGCGTACAAAATAATGCTACTTTAAGTCATCTTCATGTAAGTGCGTTTTATTCCAACTATTGTTGCAGCAATTTTGCGTGTCTGAAATATGGATTATTGTGGATTCCAATACCGCAATAGCTTTAAATTTATTTGAAACTAAAACCCAAAATAATTTGACTACTGAGAAGAACTTCGACAACTAACACAAATGTTTTCTATCTCACCTTAATATGACGCAAAAGTTTTTAGTTTCTCACAAGCACTTTCTTCCNCAAGAGAGGGCACAGAGTGGCCATGCAGAAAGAGGAAAGAGAAATCGAAATGAAAGGAAACAATATAACTCAGTACTCACTGCAGTGAGTGACAGTGAGCGCATTTTCTCGTCGACGAAAACTTGAGGTCACGGACGGACGGACAGACAGACAGACGGGCATGGCGAGCACAATAGTGCATTTTTTCCATAAATGAGAAAATGCGCTAAAAATGGAAAAGGCGCTTTGCGAAAATCAGGTTGATCGAATGTTTGTTAGGTTTTATTATGGAGGGGGACCGTCAGGGCTTTGGACGGTTTGCACGAAGTGCATAGAGGGTAATGGTTTATTATTTACAATTTTAACCAGATCAAACACTTTTAATTGGAAGTGAAGATAATGTGTTTTATTTTTTTAGATGCGTTCGGTTTTTTCTATATGTTTTATTTCTTTTTCTTTTTATTTATTTGAAAAAGATGATATGATGAAGGTAAGGATGCTGATGAAAGAAATGAGCAGAATACATGTATGTATTGTGGTGGGATTTGTACCACTTGTTTATTTCCTATTCTCCCTGTGTGGGTGTAATTCTTGTTCTAAAAATGGAGAAGCCGTCGTGAAAGAAGCGTTGTGCTATCGTAATATCGGTCATGATAATTGTAATAACGTGGATAATAACGTCCTTGATTTCGATTACTTCATGAATAAAGATCTACTTGCAGTGTTGAGATTGATGCAAAAGATCCACTTTGCAGTGTTGAGATTGATGCAAAAGATCTACTTGCAGTGTTGAGATTGATGTCGTCCGTCTGTCCGTGACCTCAAGTTTTCGTCGACGAGAAAATGCGCTCTCTGTCACTCACTGCAGTGAGTACTGAGTTATATTTTTTCTGGACTTATTCCGTGATTTAGTTTTTTTCAATTGCGTCTATCCACAAAAATTTTGGGTTGCAGGACTACCTCATTAAAATTAAAAAAGTACGGATAAGGGGAAACTTTTATTTATGCTCCAGAACAAATAAATCTACTAGTATATTTTGTATTATATGCCTTTTTTATCCGCGGACTGAGCCGTTTTCAGGTCATCTGACAGCGCTGGTTGGCCGTACCGCACTCAATGTGTTAAGTACACGTAGCGGCTGATTTCTCGCCTGTGATTGGTGGGTTTAGCTTGGAAAACCGTCAATGACAGTCTGACTAATTAACAAACTCGGAAATATTTCCGATAGTACGGCCCTTGCAAGTTGCACTTGACTTTTAACGCCGTTATCTGGTGGCGCGACATGTTGCAATTTCTTTTTATTTCTTTAATGCAATGAGAGAGTGTTTATTAAACATGTATGTTGTAGCAGCAGTTTTAACGCATCTCGTGCAACATTTGTTCATTTGAGTAGTTTTTAGTACCGCTCCGTCTGTCGTCACCGCCAACAATGTTGGTACGCTGATTTCGACGCTGTCCAGTACGGTGGTGCAGTGTTGTGACGCTGGACACATTTATTTTATGGTATTAAGCTACAATGTCTGGAATTAATTTGTACTAGGAGTTGGTCATACACCTAATTATGTATATTTAATTTTGCTGATCTTAATCCAATCTAATTTCATCCTGTGGCTTGAAGCCCATGACTGTGGCTTCAGGCCTGTGACTGTGTTGGCGAACATTTATTTCTGTTTATTGGAATTTAATTTTTTGTGTTAAGCTTCTAAAGTTTCATTGGTTATGTCACTCATGTCAATTATAAAGTCAGAAATCGTGAAGACCCTGCATAAGATGGTTATAGTGACCAACTATACATGGGCTGAATAAAGGACTTCAGCGGTTACATGCGTATTGATGCAGCTTGCAGAGGTTGATCCATGAAGAGGGTCGGGGAATATGTTTAGCAGATTTAATTGTCCTTTTAAATATCAAGAACAATAACACAGGGCACACGGGTTGGTGGGGTCGGTGGCCTGCTGCAGGAGCATCGTGACCTGCTCGCTGACGCTGTAGGCCGCGCCGTCCTCGACGCCGTTCAGCTTCTGCTCCACGCGTCGCAGGCAGCGGTCCGCCAGACTGTTGTCTGCGTCTGCGTCTGCGCCTGCGGGGGGAATGGGATCCTTAACAAAATTTAGAGCCAGACTGTTGTCTGCGTCTGCGTCTGCGCCTGCGCCTGCGGGGGGATGGGATGACGAGGTCAATTGGTCAGCAGACCACCACCAGGCATTTAAGATAACGGTGATTAAACCGTGTTTATTCGAGATAATGATGATTAAACGGTGTTTATTCGAGATAATGGTGATTAAACGGTGTTTATTTGAGATAACGGTGATTAACCGGTGTTTCAACGTTATTTGGCTGGTAAAATGATAATGGTCATTTAATAGCAGACTGGAACATTGATGAAGTTACCCTAGTATGAAGAAGTTACCCTGGTATGACTAAGTTACCCTGGTATGACCTAGTTACCCTGGTATGACCTAGTTACCCTGGTATGACCTAGTTACCCTGGTATGACCAAGTTACCCTGGTATGACCTAAACGTTCAAAGGGATCTCAGTATTGCAATAAGTCAATATGACAAAAACGTTGTTCGCGCTTATCAAAAGTAATTATTAAACATCGTTCTGCTGAGAATAGAAGCTCTCTAACTCAAACATCGTGAAAATTGAAGAATTTTCACCTCTTGCCCGCACTCGAACCCATGACGGCCATGAGTCGCTGTTACATTCCCTATGCGCCGGAATCATCAACTCTCTGTTTCAACTAATGTATCTCTGTATCTCTATCTATCTATCTATCTAATGTATCTCTGTATCTATCTATCTCATGTATCTCTGTTTCAACTAATAAATAGTCTCTTCACTTTCCTTTTATTGTTTTTTGCTACGGTCAACTCTTTTAATCACGTGTGACTCATTTAATTACAATATTGCAAAGAATCAATGTCTGTGTCATGGAAATAACTCATCTCATAACATGGAGGAATGAGATAAAAAGAATAGGGAGGAAGCTCTCTCGACAGGCAGAGAGGCTGATTCAATAGACGGAAAAATATTGTAGGAAATATTGTACACTGTATTGAAAAAAGGAAAAATATTGTACACTGAATTAAGGATCAATTAATGCCTCGAGAAAGCAGCAAAATGCTTGGTATATATATAGAGCCCATTAAGTTCTGCTATGTTCCATTGAAATCTTGATTCGAAGCTCGGCATCTTTAGCTGGAGGTTGACATATTGATTTGATAGTTGATAAGTTGTTTTGATGGTCGATATGTAATTGCTTTGATGGTTGATAAGTTGTTTTGATGGTCGATATGTTGTTTTGATGGTCGATATGTTGTTTTGATGGTTGATATGTTGTTTTGATGGTTGATATGTTGTTTTGATGGTCGATATGTTGTTTTGATGGTTGATATGTTGTTTTGATAGTTGATATCTTGATTTCATGGTTGATATGTTGTTTTGATAGTTGATATATTGATTCGATGGTTGATATGTTTGACCTCATGAATACAGGTATGGCATAATCTCATCTCTCGTCTTACTCAGACTTGCCGAGGCAGCGACTTAGACTCTTGAAGCTCTTAAGTGTTTAGTGTAACAGTATTAGGGATCACTATGCGTGTTATCACTAAGCTTACTGTTACTATACACTATCTGACAGTAGCTAGCTTGCATTGAACCTACTGCCTTTCGACTATGCTGGCGCCAAGCCTAATGCTATCAGGTTGGCTGCCCTAACAAAATTTAGAGTCGCCCCAGCTTCTGGTAATCCAAATCAGAAGCTGACGCGTCTGTAAATTTTTTAATGGGTGCTGGTGTACATAAACTAGAACTTACGCATCAACGATTGCCGTACAATCTTGCGATCATTTACAGCTGACCTTGGGAGATGACAGACAACTTTACAGCATCGTCATGATAACAATCATCATGATAAACATCGGTGTATTGCTGATCACTGATAGACTATCAAGCGGCGGCCGCTGCATCTGGCAGTGCAGCAACACAGGCCGTGTGTGTTGGATCTTCCTATAGTCATCTGTATCTGTATTGGATCTGCCTATAGTCATCTGTATCTGTGTTGGATCTGCCTATAGTCATCTGTATCTGTGTTGGATCTTCCTATAGTCATCTGTATCTGTATTGGATCTGCCTTTGGTCTTCTGTATCCGCCATTTGATCAACATAACGCATTGATATCCACCATCTGATCCAGGTTCGTTGAAACTACCAATAGATAACCATCTGTATCCATCAACTGGCCGCATTGAGTAAAAACTTTCCATTCTATACAGTGAAAATTGAATATAAATTTTGGCTTTAAACTAACCGTATCATAATTTCCAAAAGAACTAAATATTCGCCATGATGCTCAATATACCGGACGGATAACGTGTTGACAACTTGCGCTCCTCGTAATTCTTTTCTCTGTCTGTATTAACGGTCACTATACATGTATATAACGTTTTTTCATACATTGAACATTTATTATCTCTCTGTATTAACGATCACCATAATAACGATCTCCCGCAAGTGTTCACAATAATGGCATTCACGATCACAATGAGATACGATCACCATTCATTTACTCAAATTATTCAGAACAGGTTCAATAAACACATTGTATTTATTAGCACCATGCGTTTACACATTCTATTCTAGAACAAGTGCAATAAACACATTGTATTTATTATAATCATGCGTTTAAACATTCTATTCTAAAAACAAATGCAATTAACACATTATATTTATTAGCACCAAGCGTTTACACATTCTATTCTAGAACAAATTTAATAAACAAATTGTATTTTTTATCATCATGTGTTTACAAATTCTATTCTAGAACAAAATCAATAAAAACATTGTATTTATTAGCACCATGCGTTTACACATATTCTATTCTAGAAAAAGTTCAATAAACACATTTTATTTATTATCACCAAAACCATTGTATTTATTATCACCGAGCATTTACACATTCTATTCTAGAACAAATTCAATAAACAAATTGTATTTATTATCATCATGTGTTTACACATTCCATTCTAGAACAAATTCAATAAACACGTAATATACGCAGTCACTTTAATTCATACTCACCAGCTGGGGCCGTACTTTAAAAACTCGCTAAGTGAACGTAAGTACTTACGCTCTATTTTCTTGTCTATGATTGGTGTGCCACGGGGGCGACACTGGCCCTCGTCAGGGACTGCGACGAGGACGACGTGCGACGTGCCGTCGGTGGGTGTTATCTCGGACCGTTGTTATCTTGTGCCTTTAGTGTTATCTTGAATAGTGTTATGTTGAACCTTTAGTGTTATCTAGGCCCGTTGATATCTTGAGCCTTTAGTGTTATGTTGAACCTTTAGTGTTATCTCGGACCGTTGTTATCTTGAGCATTTAGTGTTACCTCGGCCCGTTGTTATCTTGAACAATTGCTGTTATCTTAAGCCTTCGGTGTTATCTCGGACCGTTGTTATCTTCAATCTTTAGTGTTACCTCGGCCCGTTGTTATCTTGAACAATTGCTGTTATCATAAGCCTTCGGTGTTATCTCGGACCGTTGTTATCTTGAGCCTTTAGTGTTATCTTGACCCGTTGTTATCTTGAGCCATTAGTGTTATCGCGGCCCGTTGTTATCTTGAATCTTTAGTGTTACCTCGGCTCGTTGTTATCTTGAACAATTGCTGTTATCTTGAGCTTTTGGTATTATCTCGGACCGTTGTTATCTTGAGCCTTAATTAAGAGTTATCTTGAACCTTTAGTGTTATTTTGAACCTTTAGTGTTATCTTGAGCCTTTAGTGTTATCATGAGCCTTTAGTGTTATCTTGAGTCTTCAGTGCTTTCTTGAACCTTCAGTGTTATCTTGAGCCTTCAGTGTTATCTTGAGCCTTTAGTGTTATCTTGAGCCTTCAGTGTTATCTTGAGCCTTTAGTGTTATCTTGACCCATTACTGTTACCTTGAACCTTGAGTATTATCGAACCCCCGTAGTGTTATTCACACTCTTGTTGTCCACCGCACTCCTGTTGTCCGCCGCACTCCTGTTGTCCACCGCACTCCTGTTGTCCACCGCACTCCTGTTGTCCACCGCACTCCTGTTGTCCACCGCACTCCTGTTGTCCACCGCACTCCTGTTGTCCACCGCACTCCTGTTGTCCACCGCACTCCTGTTGTCCACCGCACTCCTGTTGTCCACCGCACTCCTGTTGTCCACCGCACTCCTGTTGTCCACCGCACTCCTGTTGTCCACCGCACTCCTGTTGTCCACCGCACTCCTGTTGTCCACCGCACTCCTGTTGTCCACCGCACTCCTGTTGTCCACCGCACTCCTGTTGTCCACCACACTCCTGTTGTCCACCGCACTCCTGTTATCCCACCGCACTCCTGTTATCCCACCGCACTCCTGTTGTCCATCCTGTTGCTCCGTGGCCAGGCTGTGCGGTGGCCGCCTTCAAGCAATGGCGGACAGCATCGGTGGCCGCGCGGGTGGACGTCCTCCTGAAGATCAAGGCAGGACTGATGGCCCGCCAGGAGGAACTGGCCGCCATCATCACCGCTGAGAACGTGAGCCTCTAATGACCTCTACCCCGCTGCTCTTATCACCTTCATTTGCATCACTCATAGCACTCATCACCCTCATTAGCAACACCCGCAGAACTTATCACCCTCATTAGCAACACCCGCAGCCCTCATCACTCTTGTTCGCAACACCCATAGCACTCATCGCACTCAAGCGCAGCACCCATAGCTTTCATCACCCTCATTCGCAACACCAGCATCACTTATGACCCTCATTCGCAACACCCATAGCACTCATCACCCTCATTCACAACACCCACGTCACTCATCACTCTCATTCACAACACCCCCAGAACTCATCACTCTCATTCACAACACCCATAGCACTCATCACTCTCATTTGCAACACCCCCATCACTCATGACCCTCAATCGCAACACCCGCTTCACTCATGACCCGCAATCTCACCCCTCTCATTAGTCACGATCCTCAATCTTAAAACATCTTCCAAGTATACAGTTGATATACCTCTCCCTTCTCCTATCCAGTGAGTACAGTCCTAGATACTCCAACCTGCCCCAGTAGTCTAGGTCCCTCATCTAGCTGATCCTTGACGTTAAAGTCCGTTGGACTGCCTCCAATTGTTTCACCGTGCACGCCTGTAGCGACGCCCAAAGCTGGCTGCAGTACTTCAGAATGGGAAGCACGTGGACTCTGAAGAGTGTAATAAGCGGCCCAGATTCTCTTGAACAAAATTTCCGCCAGACCTACCCAGTCTGCCTTCCGTAACAGTTGCAGCGATGTGGCCATCGAACGTAGCTTTAGTACTCAATAATTCTGCGAGATCACTAAGAAGTTGCCCCTCGATTTCTGTACCGTCCTCCAATTGTTTCACCGTGCACGCCTGTAGCGACGCCCAAAGCTGGCTGCAGTACTCCGGAATGAGAAGCACGTGGGCTATGAAGAGTGTTATCAGCGGCCCAGATTCTCTTGTACAAAATTTCCGCCAGATCTACCCAGTCTGCCTCCCGTAACAGTTGCAGCGATGTGGCCATCGAACGTAGCTTTAGTACTCAATAACTCTGCGAGATCACAAAGAATTAAGTTGCCCCTCGAATTCTGTACCGCCCGATGGCAAGTAGCGGTGGAGCATCCCGGTCTCTGTGCCAACTCTGTATCTAATTACTTCGAATTTGGTGTTGTTAAACTGCTTATTATTCACTAGGGCTCAATCGTAGATTGTCGACAAGTCATACTGTAACCTCTCGTAGTCTAAGTCATCTTTGATCCTCATCAGAAAAATTGTATCGTCCGCAAATGACTATGTAAATGCGTGGGTAAGTTTCGAGTCGAAGTCGACGGCGATGTGGATGAGGAATAGGATCTGTCTTAGCACCGATTGCCCTTTGGCAATCCGCTTTTCACCCTCGCTTCTCTCGATATCGAGTCTCCAATTACGACAGCTTGTACCTACCCTGTCAGTTAGGAAAACAAGAATCCACGCCGACAGGCTTCCTCCCTCACCCATAAGCCTTAGTTTTTTCGAATAGTATACCAAAGTCAACTTTGCCAAAAGCATTCGAAAAGTCCAGGTATAACGCGTCTACGCCAGCTCCCTCCTCCGAGTAGGACCAACTCCCCCTCTCAGTCACCCATGACGTCATAACCCTCTCTACTTCAATGACATCCCACACCCATGATCCCCTCTACTGGCTCTACACAAAAACCTTCGCTACATCCATGACACTCTTAATCGTACAACTTTTGACCCTTTTCTCCCCCGGTGCAGGGAAAACCGTTGGGGGAGGCTCGTGGGGAGGTGGGTTTCGCGGCATCATTCTTCCAGTGGTACGCAGAGGAGGTACGACGTTCCTATGGGGAAGTCATCCCCTCTCCCGACCCCCGCAAGCGCTTCCTCACCCTGCGACAACCCTTGGGGGTCGTCGCCCTCATCACGCCCGTGAGGATTGCAGAAGAGGGAAGGGGTATTACCACTCTGCTGGGGACAGGAGGGGAAACTTGTCAATTTTGCGCAGCGTTTGTCACAGTTCACCCATTGAGTTTTTTTTGTCTCTACACTCATAAAATTGAATGGGTCATTGTGTCCAAATTGGTACACGTTCCGCTCGTAGCGCTGATACCCCTTATTTTAGGCCAAACTGGGTCAGGATGACCTACTCAAGAGCATAAAGTGCATTGCTATTTAGGTCCAATGAGTAATTCACTTATCTTAGTTTAAGGTCCATATAACTCATTTATTTTAGCTCGGACAATTCACCGTGTATTCCTCTCATTCAAAACTAACCTGATCCACTAACTAGCAACTGTAAAAAGCTGTTCAAAATGTCATAGCATTTCGTACTTTACTTCGTTGTTGAATAAATATATTAGATTAGCCTCGTCAGGTCAGAATTTGCATGTCTAACCTTTCCCCGTCCAATATTCAAATATCATTTTATTGTCAAAATAGTAAAAAAATATGAAGAAGCATTCCTAAACTTTCAAATGCGTTCAATGTATGCATGTATTTATGCACACTACCTGAATGTTGCAATCAAATGTGTATATCAGCAAACATCGTCTACATCAACGGCAGATATGCGGCAGAAGCATGTAAACAGAATTACTGATTTAGTCACAAATCTTAGATTTTGTGAAGTTTAATATTGTTAAAGAACAAACGCCTATCTTTATTTAATGTAGTTTGAATTTCCGTCGTTTAATTGGAGAAGACATTCAGAAGGTAATAGTGGACATAGTAGAGAACGAGCTTAACTTACGAAGCAGTGATTGAATATGTTTACATCGACCTTTACCCTCATGCACTCAGTGCCACATGCAGTGACTATATAGTACTGTGTACAGCACTACAGTGACTGACTGTATGCCTCACACCCACTGCTAATTTTCACCCGTGCAGTGGAACTTTGACTGTACACACGACCCAACAACTGACACCATTACCTACTGCTGACTGTACGCCTCACACCCACTGGCCATATTCACCCGTGTAGTGACAAGTTGACTGTACATATTACCCAANACGTGGCGCGTATCTCTTTGTCGCCCACGTGGCACGTATCTCCTTGTCGCCCACGTGGCGCGTATCTCCTTGTCGCCCACGTGGCGCGTATCTCCTTGTCGCCCACGTGGCACGTATCTCCTTGTCGCCCACGTGGCGCGTATCTCCTTGTCGCCCACGGGGCACGTATCTCTTTGTCGCCCACGGGGCACGTATCTCCTTGTCGCCCACGTGGCGCGTATCTCTTTGTCGCCCATGTGGCACGTATCTCTTTGTCGCCCACGGGCACGTATCTCTTTGTCGCCTACGTGGCATGTATCTCTTTTTCGCCCATGTGGCACGTATCTCTTTGTCGCCCATGTGGCACGTGTCAGTTTGTCGCCCACGTGGCGCGTATCTCTTTGTCGCCCACGTGGCACGTATCTCTTTGTCGCCCACGTAGCACGTATGTCCTTGTCGCCCACGTGGCACGCGTCAGATTGTCGCCCTTTCAACATGTAGCATAATGCCGATTGTAATTTAAATTATTATCAAGATTACACACCAACTTATATTATATCTGTCTCTTATACACATCTAGATGTGTATAAGAGACAGNGAGTCATCACTTCCTGACGTCGGCAGGGTGAGTCATCACTTCCTGACGTCGGCAGGGTGAGTCATCACTTCCTGACGTCGGCAGGGTGAGTCATCACTTCCTGACGTCGGCAGGGTGAGTCATCACTTCCTGACGTCGGCAGGGTGAGTCATCACTTCCTGACGTCGGCAGGGTGAGTCATCACTTCCTGACGTCGGCAGGGTGAGTCATCACTTCCTGACGTCGGCAGGGTGAGTCATCACTTCCTGACGTCGGCAGGGTGAGTCATCACTTCCTGACGTCGGCAGGGTGAGTCATCACTTCCTGACGTCGGCAGGGTGAGTCATCACTTCCTGACGTCGGCAGGGTGAGTCATCACTTCCTGACGTCGGCAGGGTGAGTCATCACTTCCTGACGTCGGCAGGGTGAGTCATCACTTCCTGACGTCGGCAGGGTGAGTCATCACTTCCTGACGTCGGCAGGGTGAGTCATCACTTCCTGACGTCGGCAGGGTGAGTCATCACTTCCTGACGTCGGCAGGGTGAGTCATCACTTCCTGACGTCGGCAGGGTGAGTCATCACTTCCTGACGTCGGCAGGGTGAGTCATCACTTCCTGACGTCGGCAGGGTGAGTCATCACTTCCTGACGTCGGCAGGGTGAGTCATCACTTCCTGACGTCGGCAGGGTGAGTCATCACTTCCTGACGTCGGCAGGGTGAGTCATCACTTCCTGACGTCGGCAGGGTGAGTCATCACTTCCTGACGTCGGCAGGGTGAGTCATCACTTCCTGACGTCGGCAGGGTGAGTCATCACTTCCTGACGTCGGCAGGGTGAGTCATCACTTCCTGACGTCGGCAGGGTGAGTCATCACTTCCTGACGTCGGCAGGGTGAGTCATCACTTCCTGACGTCGGCAGGGTGAGTCATCACTTGCTGACGTCGGCAGGGTGAGTCATCACTTCCTGACGTCGGCAGGGTGAGTCATCACTTCCTGACGTCGGCAGGGTGAGTCATCACTTCCTGACGTCGGCAGGGTGGGTCATCACTTGCTGACGTCGGCAGGGTGAGTCATCACTTCCTGACGTCGGCAGGGTGGGTCATCAATTAGTATGATAATATTGCCCTTGTTTATTTAAAGAATTTTCTCGTATATGGTAAATTTGGAGCTATCGCTTCGTCTGTGCATCTCTTGCTTCTGTACATCTAATTAAATCAATCAACGCTCGCTGCGCAGCTGCTGTACACGTAACTGCTGCTGTACACGTAACTGCTGCTGTACACGCAACTGCTGCTGTACACGTAACTGCTGCTGTACACGTAACTGCTGCTGTACACCTGTCTCTTATACACATCTAGATGTGTATAAGAGACAGCAGCTGCACGACATCGTGACGAAGTCGGTGGATATGGGGGCGAGGCTGGAGTGTGGGGGGCAGCCTGGGGAGGGGCTGTTCTATCCCCCCACCCTCCTGCGGGGGGTCGTGCCCGGTATGCCCGCCTTTGACGAGGAGATCTTCGGGCCGGTCGCGTCCATCGTCGCCTTCGACGACGAAGCCCAAGCCGTCGACCTCGCCAACAAGTCCGAACGCGGGCTGGCCGGTGAGTCCGCATTTAATAATGTAAATGTGTTGTAAAATTGGGTGAGTCTGTGTCTAAAATTGTAAATAAAATTGGGTGAGTCTGCGTCTGAAATAATAGGTGCATTGTACAATTGGGTGAGTCAAGTTTGTAAAATTGGGTGAGTCTATATCTAAAATTGTATGGGCGTTATAAAATTGGGTGAGTCTGCGTCTGAAATTATAGGTGCATTGTAAAATTAGGTGAGTCTGCATTTAATAATGTAAATGCGTTATAAAATAAAGTGAGTAATCTTATAAAAATATAAGTGCATTGTAAAATTGGGTGAATCTATACCTAAAATTATAATGCATTATAAAATTGGTTCAATACATATGTACAAAATTGTTCAAGCATTGTAAAATTGAATGCTTTTTAAAATTGAATGCATTTTCTGGTTATTAATCGCACGTTTACAAAGAAACATATTCTGCCATCTAATATTTTTTTATTTGCAAAGTATTTGTTGAAATATCATTTTTCTTTAGATTATATTCACGCAATCTATATTCAGCATGTTCATAATTTTAAAAAATCGAAACTTGGATCACATCTTTACAGAATAATTAACTCGTTCATTAAAAACAACTTTTATCAACATTTTTCGAAGGAAAATAAAATTGCGGCGCGGTGTAATTCAGCCTTGAACAATCGATTTTCTCTCTCTGGTATTTCTATGAGTATAATTAAAACAATTCAATTGATTGACATAAGCTTGTGCCAGAGAAATATTGGCTTGGAGGTTGAGTTTACGTATTCGGAGTGCATGGAAATTTAGGTTTAAGGAACGAATAAAATATTTGGTTTAATTGGAGATCATTTGAGTCTTCAATGCCGCACCACCGGAACATTAGAATTTTTTTGGAGTTTTGATCAAGAGAAATAATTGGCCTATAATCAATAATTTCAATTCATGTCACGCTAGAAAGATGAGCTATAATTAAGTTATCTCATGGTTGTAGCTCGCAGCATTCTCATACTTAATTAACCCTCTACCATGTAACATAAGTAACCGGAGCAATATTGTCACAAGCCTACTTCCCAAAAAAGATACGTTGTAGTGAGCGCAAAATGACTTGCACTGATGGTTGCCGCCACGTACGACAACTTTAATATGTTCTCTGTTGCGTACAAACGTCCTCAGGCTGCTACACTCAATAGATAACGTATAATTCAAGTTGAATGTTATGTTCCCGGAGAGTGACATACGGCGGTAGAGGGTTAAGTTGAAAGTTGTGTTCCCGGAGAGTGACATACGGCGGTAGAGGGTTAAGTTGAAAGTTGTGTTCCCGGAGAGTGACATACGGCGGTAGAGGGTTAAGTTGAAAGTTGTGTTCCCGGAGAGTGACATACGGCGGTAGAGGGTTAAGTTGAAAGTTGTGTTCCCGGAGAGTGACATACGGCGGTAGAGGGTTAAGTTGAAAGTTGTGTTCCCGGAGAGTGACATACGGCGGTAGAGGGTTAAGTTGAAAGTTGTGTTCCCGGAGAGTGACATACGGCGGTAGAGGGTTAAGTTGAAAGTTGTGTTCCCGGAGAGTGACATACGGCGGTAGAGGGTTAAGTTGAAAGTTGTGTTCCCGGAGAGTGACATACGGCGGTAGAGGGTTAAGTTGAAAGTTGTGTTCCCGGAGAGTGACATACGGCGGTAGAGGGTTAAGTTGAAAGTTGTGTTCCCGGAGAGTGACATACGGCGGTAGAGGGTTAAGTTGAAAGTTGTGTTCCCGGAGAGTGACATACGGC